AGCAGTTTAGTAGGTTAAAGTCCAATTACACCATGGAAAAGACTTTCACTTACTTTGTGTCAAATTCAATGAGGTTGGTGTCAATGGGGGCATCATTTTCTGGAGCTAAAACAAGAAGGTTGCAGAAGGAATATTGATTGGCACTCTGTAGGTAATGGGCATAATTTCCCACTTAAAGAACCCCTTTTACAAAGGTGTCTGCACATAGATGTTTTCATTCGTCAAAATGGTTATTATTTTTGAATTTCTTTGCTACTAAAATCTCACCCACGGGCAGCTATTCAATCAAACAACCACAAAATATTATTTTTCAGTTTTTAGCTTTTGGCTGTTGTGCACATATTTGTACAGAAGGAATTCGGTACTGACATGTTAGGAGTTAAGAAGTATATATTTTTGATATATATATATATTTTTTTTTTTACATATTTACATACTTACAATATTTTAATATTTCATTCAAAATCTTTTATAATACATTTTTTATATTCCCTGCATAAGGGAAAGTCTATGTTTTAGGTGCTGTAACTGATATCACACTAAAAATAAATCCTAGCTTTAAACTAGTTACCCAGAGCAATATGAAAGCAGATAAAAAGGCACATACCATCTCTGTAAATCGATTCCTCCAATGGTTTGGGATGCATTAATGTAAAGGGGAGCTCAACGGCAACATCACTGAAGAGAGAAATGCAAATCATGAGAGTAAGGCATCCAAGAGGCATGATAACCAAATAAATCCTGGCCATTTAGGATACGCTGCAACCAAACCTCAATCCCATCACTCATGAGGTGCTAACAGAGTGCTGGAACCACTGGCCTAAAAGCATCAGCACAAATGGTTCACTAATTCATGATATCTTATCAAGTGTCTGAGCCTGTCTGTGCTTCTAGTCAAAAGCTTGGCTACTTATAGGAATCTCTAATGTGCACAATTGGCTGGAGTCAGCCGTGTAAGACAGACTCTTCAATATATGGTCAGTCCTTGTCAATGAAATTCACTATGGAGCAGCTTTAATCCGGTTTTCAAAAATGTTTCAACATTTGCACACATTAAAAACAGAATAATTTCTGTTAGGAATAAACAGAAAGATCACAGTACCTTGAGGCAAGATCTCCAAGCAGCCTGAAAAAAATAAAATGGGCTAAAATAAAACATGATCTTACTGTATTGCAATAATAAGCATTCCATACTGATTTAGCAAAGTCATTTCAATGTAACCCTGGAATGAAAAAAAAGGGGTCAAATTTATCTGTCTAGCTACTAATCTGTCTATCTTTATCAACAACAACAAAAAAACTTATTTCATATAAACTACAAGTCAGGCACACCAGAATGAATGTTTGTCATGATCCAAAAGACCATTTTTGACTGGTACCAATCTCATTACATAAACAAATGTAATGTTTAAAATTTACCACACATATAATTATTTATATTGAATTACATTTTTGAGTTAATTTATTGTACATGGGAAGTGAACAACTAAACAAACCATATTTGTGTATAATAAAAATCTTTCATTACACTGAAAATAAAGATAAACCTAGAATATTTTCTTTTAATAAAACAACTGAATCCAATACTGGTCATTTTGACCCTGTTAATACATTTGTGCAGTCTAAAATTCCCCTTTTAACCAGTTATAATGATAATGGTAACTAGATTTTTTTTTTTTTTTTAAAGGATTTGTGAACGATCCTTGCCTTTGCTAAACCCATGGCTACAATGCCGGGGAGTTGAGGATGTTTATAGCATGTTGCTATGCAGTTGCTAGTTTTTTTTTTTTTGCCATACAGGTGCATCTCAATAAATTAGAATGTGGTGGAAAAGTTCA